CAAGCAGTAATTTTCCAGCCAGTACATTCTCATAGCTCACACAGTGATCCAGGAACGGTCTTTTTGAACTCAGTTGCCTTTCTTGGTTCAATGATATATCACTAAATCAGTCACAGTGGTCAAAAGAAATAAAAGACTGACTGCTTTAAGATAATTAGAAGCCATTTCTGAATTTGGAGTTGGGGTTAATCCCACTCAGGAAGATTCTGGAGATGGTTAAGAAAAAGGCAAGAAGTAGCAGTTCGGGAAATGACTAATAAAAATGACCCTAAAAATTTCTTGAGTATATCCTATGACAGTTACTTCCCATGGCCACATTTAGTCAATCATTTGGTAATGCTGCCAGTCAAGGGCTACTAGGAACATACCTGTAAACAAATGAAGTTAGTTTTATAAGCTTCCTGCAGCAAGAAGACTTGTACTCTGTGGGGAAGCACAGGGTGCCTTAATGAGAGGGAGAGAGAGAAAGAGCTCATTGTAGAAATTGGGCTGTGTTAGGTGAATCTGGGGGACAGTTTGAGGATGCAGGCATTGGTGTGTGCGTGCATGTGTGTGTGTATTCATAAAGCAGAGGCAATATAGTGGTTGGGTATTTTAATAATTTTTATCTTGGAAGCAGAAGGGACAGAGTGTGGCTAGAGACACCACTGGAGAAAAAGCAGAAGTCACTCATATTAGATGAAGATGGGAATTTTTGTGGTTGCATGGTATTTCTACTCAGGCATAATTATGATGTGGACTTAGTTTTTTCTTATCTGGATCACGAAGAGTCCTCATTTGATACTGATAATCTGTGAAATTACTTATGTTTAGCAGGAGAACACTATGGATGGCCTAGTGGTAAAAACTAGGCCAGCTACCACTTGATAGGCATAGGGCTGCTTTTTTTCCCTTTCTTTCTAAATCCCCACTTTTGGCCAAAGACAAAGTCAGGCTATGGGATATTAATCTTTGATAAGATCTTTCTCATTGTCGGTATTTTGGTTAGATTATCTGGGGTATGTTGCATCTAAGTTAAACAAGTCCCTTCTGATCCTTCTCATAGAATGAATTGTTGAATCATTTGATGCGAAAGTGGTTATATAGTAGCATTTAAGAATCAAGATAGGATGCAGTGATCAACTGCAATTCAGACAATTACTAGAAAAAATATTATTAGTTTTGTAAATGATTATTCATTTTGGGGCCTAGATGACTAAACCCAGGTCTCAACAATGTGCTTAAAAATCCAGCTGGGTTTTGATATTTATGTATTTGCAACAAGGTATGTTTGTTCTGGAATAAACTCCCTCTTGGTTATTCAAGAAGAAATTATGGGCAATGTGCTTGTCCATGAATACCTTGGCTGGTAAATTTAAACTGGTGTGATGGGCCTCTAGTAGTAGTATCCACGTAGAAAATTATATTTTAGGGGTGCATAGATTCCATGGAGAGTATGAATATTGCTTATCTCAACTGGATCTCAACAGTGAACCAGTCATCGGGCCCCACAGGCAGATGTTCTTCCAAGGGAAGTTAAACATTTTCTGCAGTGATTCTGAAGAGAACAGACTGAACACTGCAGTGTCAGGGGTTCGTGCTCCTCAGTACACTGGGCTTAGTTGGCAGATTTAGTGATCTCACAAGGAGCATTTTGCTGATGTGGAGGCACAGTCCAATTTTCACAAGGTTGGGATTCATAATATGAGAGAAATTTCAGTACCCAGAAGACATCTGTACAGGGAATCTATCATGAAAGTGTTTTTAAAAACACTTGTTAATTTTTTCAGCAGAATCAAACGGGTGTTATCCACCAATCGGATTTACAGCAATGACTACGATCTGAGAAATCTGAGAAAAATACCTAAGAATGTTTTGTCTTTCCTTAATGTCACAAAAAGACCCTCAGAGGTTCAGAGGAAGAAAATGAAGGTGTGAGAGAGCATACTGAGAACACTTTAGTCAGTCACTGGGAGCTTCAGCCTATGCTATTAGGCAAGATTAGTAATAAAACATACCCAAAGAAAAAGGCTGTTGAGTCGAAAATTAATCTTGTTCCAGAGACCTAAGCAAACTACATAATCGTTAGCTTCACCTGAGGGCTTGAGCCAATTTATTTTGCGAGATTATCTGCTTCCGAGAGATTTCAAAGAACTCTCAGCTTGAAGTCTGTCATTGAAATGGAAGTCTGATGATTTAGAGAAAACGATGTCTGTCTTTTTTATTGAAAATATGAATCCAAGGATCACTACCTTAGAGTTTTTCTCCTGTGTTAATCATTAGTAGTACCTGACAAGGTGATAATCATGGAAGCTCTAGGCGAATCTTTTGCTTTCTCTTCCAGAAGACCAAACCTCCAGATTTCAGGTCATTCAGAGATTGCGGTTACTTTGGAAAGGCCACCCGGACCTGTATATTGAAAAGATTCCCAATATCTGTCATATCAGCTTGCAGTGGGGAAAGTCTGGGACCAGAGGAAAGTTTCTAAATGCACGGG